TGCAAAGCATTACCCACCATTTTTGGCCTATGTACATCCTTCTAATGAATTTCGCACCTTCTCTAGTTGCTGCATATTATTTTTAGGAAGCTTATACAGCTCTAAGCCGATCCACTAAGTAGGGAGTGCCAAAATCCCATTTACTGAGGTCTTCAAAAATAGGCATTTTGGATCCATGCTCTCAAAACTGGCACATTTGAACCAAAGAGCCGTGTTCTTTTATGAATTTAGTGATCTGAATTCCATTTAGACTTTTAAGCTACTAAGCAACTGTTAATGCTGTGCTTCACCGCCCCATAAAACACCATCGCCATGGGACCTAAGTGTCCCTGAATAGGTAAATATGTGGATTCGATTGATTATGGATTTGCCCCTCTACAAGAGTCACCATTTATGTGGAGCATTTTAACTTACAATTGCTTACCCTTAGTCACCTGGTAGCAAATACCTTCTTAGTATCCACCATCACCACCGCATTGTCGAATGCATTGCTCCGGTCCGGTCTTTACCACGATCAGACGTTAAAGGTGAACTCCGAAGTGACACGTCTAAAGCCATCAATATCACACCAACCCCCTGTTATTCAAACTTCATCGTGTTTTTATTGCATGGGGAATAATAAGGGAGGAAATAGAAAGAATACTTATTAAAACAGTCAGAACTTTTTAGGCTACGTCATACTATTAGGAGGCCACCGGGATGCCATTTAAAGAACCTCTAATAAAGCGTCAAATGTGGACCTGCCCCAAAAAGACCTACTTTATACACCATGATTTGAAGGAAAAGAGGAGTTTTTAGGCCGCTATCATCTGGGTATATATATAAAGACCTCTCGCTTTTAGCTAAAGCGCTCAATGGGCGATTTGGGGTCAATTATGTGGAAGTAATCCCATCGGTCACGAATTCTCAGAGGTAAAATGTTGTAGTAAATTAGGCTACCCCATGACTCAACCCTTTTATAAAATGGAAAGCTGTAGACCTAAACCTGAATTCCATACAGAAATTAGTGTCGGTTTCTCCTCATTCAATATCTACGAGGTTAATGCTAGGAAAATTTTATCACTCTTGAATGAAGATACTACCACTCCTTTTAAAACGCCACCGACATGATAATGTGTTGACCAGGGTTAAGAGTTTGGTGATCCTTCAGTACTCTAATTAAAACCACCATAGAGACTGCGTTCGCACCAACCAACTCCAGGACATAATGAACACCAATGAACAGCGGTACAGTTTCTGTATACACATGCAAGCCTGCTCAAACGGAATGTATTCCATTGATGCACACAAGTGGATTAAAAATTGGAACTATGCGTGAAGACAGCACTTTGAGCTTATTAATGTGCTTTTGTTTACTCATCCGAGCTCAATTTTCAAACCAGAAGTGGCAGACAAAATGGGGCTAACGGTGAATGGTTAAGGAAGGCACCACCCAAAGTGATTGGTTAACTCAATCGCCAGTGCAGTACACTGACGGAGATGGTAAATTTACGTCATTCCTTCTTCCCAGGTGAGAGTAGACAGCCATCCACCATTACCGCATGTCCCATTTCCCATTCAAGACATGTAAACAAAACTGGCTTTATGATAATTTACGGACTCTGAATTACACTTGCTTTAGCATAGCCGAACAGAACTTCTGCATTTTTACAACTACAGTCCCAGTATGCAATAAGGAAACTGAGTTTGGAGAATGGAGTGCTCGCTCTAAGTGGAAATGGGCGCTTCGTCCCACTTTAAAGCAGTCAGCTACACTCATGAAGCAATCACAACTTGGTTAAATATGCCAACCTACTGCACCGCTACTTCCATCTTCGTTTGTCTCGTGCTTCAAGAGGCTGTGCATTTAGACCCCTCCAAATGTATCACCTTGACGAAAACACATCAAGTTGGAACAGTACTACTGCACAAGACACCAAACTAGCTGTCAACACACCGTCGTTAGTAGAAGACAGGCGGGGTTGACTTGTTGCCTCGGACAAAAGTGTATTTGCACGGCTTGATTGTATATTTGATTTATATCACTCGGTTTATGTCGTTTACGGATTGGAAACAGCAGATTTATCAGGCAGCTGAAAAAAAAACCTCATTAAAGTATCACTTCACATTTCAGTAGTAGACACTAGTTCCTGCCATCAGAAGACAGTAAAACTGGAAGTTTCCTGTTCAGCTCACGATCAGTGTTACAAATGTCAGTGCGCACGCAGCGTTTTCTGAGTTGCCTTTAGCCAAAGATCTAACTGAACTTCATCTCTTTGTTAGTTGATAATTTGGGTTGATTTAACACGTCAACTGTCAGACAAATACCAAATGCTAGCACCACTTCGTTTTCTATGACTTTAACGATAATGAATGCAGGTAGAATTAAAAGTCACGACAGCTTTGATTTTGTAGTAAATGTGGCACAAAATTATGGCATTAATTATTCAGTCCTTCACTCTTGTTGACTAACCAATTATAGTGGAAAGTGGTTTCCCCTCTGAGACAGGCCAATTTTCTGCAAAATTAGAAAGCTTTCCTAAGAAAAGCTCTTTTGTCGATATGTCTATTCGTGACGATAAAGTTAAGGGGATGGGTGCAGCCGCAGCAGTGAAAGTTTTCCAACTGGACTACTGACCAAGGCGGAGAGCGCTGTGGTGGTAACGATAGCCGAGGCAATAAAAAATTTTGATCGGACGAGCATCGCTATGACGTCTAAAAGGCCACGCCGCGGAAGAGATAAAAGCTTTCAGGAGAAGGTGGGATGATCCTGTTTTACCAACAGAAAATGAATGCAACTATCGTGATGTGTATTAATGAGACTACCATCGTTGCAATACTCATCTTTCCTGAACCCAATATTGTGTAACAATTTATTCCAAAAATTCAAGCCACCTTACCACCTTCATTTATTCCCACTTTTCTTCTCAAACAATCTATTTTATTTCATGCATGAATGTGTGTCAGGAAGAAGTGGCAATTGCCACTACTAGAAACACCAGTTTAAGGCGCAAGTAGGATAGGGGTGTGGATGAAGCAGTATATCCGCAACTTCCCCTTTCTAAAGTGCAAATCTCACAGGTAGGTTTTCTTATTTGAGATACTGGATCTTGTTGTGTGTTTTAAGGGTACAACTAGTACTTCCTTCCCATTGACTGATTCTCTTCCCCTGACTAATTCTTAAGTAAGAATAGGACTCGTTACTCTTCCATAACTTTAAGTTGTATCAGATGGCATCAAGCAATGGTTAGGTCTCAGTCCTATTTATTATATGGACTCCAGTTGGTCAGCAATCCTTATTGAAAAATGAATGAATGCACATCCCTCTGAAGCCAAATTGATGCTAGCTGAGGAATGTGAAACTGTGTGGGAGTGTTTGAAATTGTGTGGGAATAACAAATTGTGTAGTGGTTTACTCAGCTTTGCAACACAAAAGTCATTCCCTATAAAAAGTAAGTGAGTAGGTAAGTCAGCGAACAATTCAACAACAGAGTGTATTTGTATCAACAAAGTAAAGAGGTGTGGAAGGAATGTAATTGATAACCCTTAAGGATAGTTGTTACTTGTCCTTAGCGATTGGAGTAGATGTACTTTACCCGGAAGTAGAATGAAATGGAATAAGCAGTTGTGTAAACCCCCAGTCATTTTCATTTACCTTACGAATCAGATTTCTGGACGCCTACTTCCACTGTAGTATGTAATTCTGAGAGGCACCCCTCAGATTGATTGTACATCCTTCTTGAACCTCCGGAATGGTGCTGTCTACAGATATTCTGCCTGAAGGCTTTGAAGTAATGTGCTTTATCTATTTATATATGCTCTCGGTTACATTCACAAATACACATGAAGACTTCTAACACGGTGAAGTAACTTTAAAATTGCCTCCTAACTGTTCCCTCTAGCTGACCAGTGCGAGTTTAGCAAAGAATAGGCAAGAGCCCATGTCAATACCACCACAATAAGTAGATTGAGATGGCGAAAGCAACTGAGCAAAAAACTCAGGCTGAAATGTTTAGGTTGTTAGGTCTAGTGTGAGCAATTGTCTTCTAAAAGCAGCCAGCTTTGAAGTTAAGTTTTTTGTTCGTAAACAAGAACCACTGGATAGATGTATTTCAATTCATTTGTCTACTTGTCATACCGAGGACATAAACACATTTTGCTCAAAGAATGGGCAATTTCAACAATCAAGCACTATGAAAACCATTTTGGTTGAGGAGAATCAAGGAAATGTACCCTTTGGCATTTATTATAATGAAGCCGTCGTTTGGAAAAAAAAATAAAACTGAGGGGAAATGATGAATACTGGGTTTAAGTACGCAGTACTGCTCACATCCTTGCCAATTTGTGTGTAGGCGTATGTGTGGGTGGGTGGACATCCATATTTGGAAGTTAAACACACATCTGGCTGATTGAAGGAATAAAGACAAGCTTATGTGCTGGTGATATCCCCACTCTTGTGTGTGGGTGTAGACGTGCATGTTAATGAGGTAGATTGGACCCCTTAAAGCTATGTCTGATTACGACTGAAATTTAATTGCCGAATAGTTCAAAGATGCCGTCATCAGTTATTAAACTGTTTGGCTCTTTTAGTGCAATTTGACATCATTTTAAATGTTTTTGATTACTAAGACTACTGGATTGGCTATAGATGCTAAAAGAAAAACAATCAAATTAAACTGAGGGTAAAGGACTGCGCTTACTTCCTTCCTTGTCACCCAGGAAATTAGAAGGCATGTAAATATGTCCATTTAAATTCATTTAGGAAAGCATTTACAATGTCCCCTTTACCTTGCTTCCCAAAATGACATCTTGACAGGCGCATGCACTACCTGAGGCTTCTTCAGCCTAAGCACATTCCTGTGTATGCTGGCACTGATTGTTAGGAAAGAGGGAGCCTTAAAGTCCTCAGTTGTTTGCGCATTCCACATCCATCCATTCAAGCGGGTTGGCACAATTTCGGTAATAAAAATTCAACGCGTTGTACAGCAAGCATGCGGGTAAAAGCATTGAGCGGGAGCGATTTATGATCGCCTGCCTAAAAATTTTACTTTATAGAGCTTTGTACTTCCGATTTTATCAAAAAAAAATGCTAGTTTATTCATCCATAAAATATGTTTGAAATTCCCACAGAAAAACAGTATGCTTTTGAAGACTACTTGAAAATTATAACAGTAGTGGCGTCTCCAGTGTTTTCTGGGGATGAAGGAAGTTATAATGCCAGAAAGGAAAATGAATAGCCGATGTAAAGAAGGGTTGAGAGAAGGCTACCAGCACAATCTCAGGAAAAGACCCTCTAGTGAAAGTACAAAGGCCGAGCATTTAGTGCTTTCATGGAAAAAACGAAAAGTCAGACAACAATCAAGGTCTTATATAGCCCCTCCCCTCTTTTGACCGTCCTCCCCAGTACTTCTCATGGTCAATCTCCTGTGTCGCCCTCACAACGTAGTCGGTGCTGTACAAACAATACCCACGTAAAATCCGCGCCAGTTAGCGAATTTGCGTTCAACTGAGAAAATATTTGGACGCCATGTCACTAATTCACGTTTGAAAATCCTACTGGATCTGTATTTTTGTCCTATTTTAGGACAGTAATGGAGATGAGGGAACCGTGGTGGCCATTCTGTGTGTCTATCAATAGTAGAAATAATACTGGCCTAATGCAAAGCCATTTAATAAGGAACGGAGATGATAATAGTTTAATGGGGACCAGATTTTGCATCTAAGCGATTCATTACTTCGTTTTAACTTCAGTACTGACCCAGTTATAAATAGTTGAGTTTTATCCAGTTGGAAGTACAATGGGCGAGGTGTCGCATCTTCTCTTCACTGACACCTACGTACAGATGTTGTAGACTGCTGCATAACGAACTTTTCTAGATAATTCACAACCATGGCTAGTGACACTTTAGTTGTTAACAGCATTCCTGTAGAACATGGGACTGGTGTAGTTGTCTAAGACTGACTACACTTCCACTCTTTCCATGAGGAATCAGCACCGCTTCTTGCATCATCTGCATATGCTCCTCCGTCGAGTTAAGGTTAAGCCTTCGGTAATAAGAATCAGGGTAGTTCTTCTTTCGGATAAAGTTCTAATTCCGCTGCCGCAATCTCATCAAGCCGAGCCTTTCCTGATGTCAAACAATTTATAATACAGGTTTAGAAAATATTTTGCCGACGCAGAGATGGGCCGAAGGACTTCTAGGGTGGCCCGTAGGCTATACCGTCTAGCAGCCTTAAGTGCCCGCATTACCAGTGCTAAGAATTAAACAAACAAGCAAGACGTCTCGAGTCGTATGAAGTGGCTTGAGAAGACTGCCAGTGAAGAAAAACGAGGCACTTAAATAACTGCCCTTAAGGATTGGCAAATATTTTGCCTAAACTTAAGTTGTGCACAACCGTTGGCTTATAAAATATATGATAAGTGAATTTAGTAATGCTTTGGGACCAGTTTAGATAATACTAGATTACCTAGCTTAGCGAGATTTATGTACTAAGTCAAAAATACATCCAGAATGAGTAAAAGAGTGTGTGGAATGGCGCAGTGGGCGCCGTTACAAACAGTGCATTTAACGGAAAAGGAGTAAAAATTAGAACTTAGTGCATAACGCGTCGACAGCTAAACTTATTAGGACAAAATACTTCATTGCAGCGTAATTTCAACCATATCTTGGTCTATAACTTTCTAGCAGAAAATACACTAAATTCTTAAACGTAGCTCCACGAAATGGATTTCTCTGAAACCGTCGTCATTTGCTTTCCACAAGATAGCCGACCAAGCTAATAACAAAGGTGGGCGTGAACAATAAGGCACTGCCTGTAAATTCTTGTTAAAATTTTTTGATAAGCAAATGGTTGCTGTAATGCGTGTGAATGAGTCGGAGCTGCATTGTGCTCACCATGCCCTCTATCTAACCCGTCAGAGCGATGCAGTTTATTATCGCCCCCACTAAAAAAATTTCCCCAAATTCTAAACGTAGTATTGGTAAAAATTTCTCTGAAACGTTTTTCAAACGTGTGAGTGATTCAAGTGGCGGCATATATGTTTTTAACCAAAATAAAGCTTAGCAGCTATAACACCCGGACGAAAACTATTTTGACTTTGTATGAATCTCGTATCTACGTAGTCTCATGTCAGCCTGCAGCACTCTGAGACTTCCCTGAAGACGAAGGAAGACCCAGTGCTAAAGCAAAAAATGCAATTTTGACTTACAGAAGGGTCGATAGCCACTGACATGACTCAGAGGCCATGCCGCCCACCGAAAATACAAAGAAGAAGAGCTAAACAAGTAAGCAAAGTATAATAATCCGTTTTTAATGGTTGAAGGCTAATTACATGTAACCTTAAAGTTTCTTACAACCTTTAGACGTCGGCTAGTTTACTTGAAAAAAATTCCAACCATAAGGCTTGCTCAAAAGTATAGCTTTGCATTGATGTAAATATATATGCATTTAATAAGCAGAAAATATCTTTTGGACAAAGGTGAGGCAATAGTGGGTTGTCAAGGTAGCAGATATAAGCAAATCGCGAAACGGTACGGCTGTTCTCTACTAATATTGCCCATATCAAGTCTTTCTGAAATGGTAACATCATGAGATATAGTGGATCGTCCATTATAAGGTAAACAGTGCATAGTTTGTTATGGGTTGATTTCGGTTACACATAAAACGTTAAACCCTTGCCAAATTGGTTACCTTTGTATGGCATTCCCAAGAGGAGGCTTAGGAAAGCACTAAATGCAAAATGATGAACCTCGAATCGCCTTGTCGAATTAATCATTCATTTTTCAAATCAGTCTATCACTAACAAATCGAAAAAATGAGATATCCTTTAATGTGCATTTATGGAGGATAATTCCGACATTAAGTAGTCCACGGGATGCCATACACTAAACACTTACGAAGGCTTCGGATTAACGGGCTAACAGTCTGCGCAAAGTTGATAGGCTTCTGGAGAGAATACGGATGTAACCTCGCCCCAAAGTGACGATCACTGCAAGGTAACATTTAGGCAGTAATGATTAATAAGAACGAAGTCTGCTTAATCAACCGTCTGGATATAGTGATGCAGGTGAAGGAGACGAAGTTTACAAAGCAACAGCACTCCTTCCTTTAGTCATTAATCATTGCTCAGATGTATGAAGTACACAGCCGACGAAGGCTTTTTATCTGTGAACAAATTAGAGATGAATCTGAGAGTCAGGCATCCCTGTTAATTGCGAGCTACCCTAAGTTTCCTTAGGTAAATCCAAGAGAAACAATAAAAATAGGATCTTCTTGCATTGTCATCTCAGAAATGGCTTGATCTGGTTAACTATCAACTACTGACCTAGATGGAGATTGCTGCAACACGATTTGAAAGTGGGGTAGAATAGCACTCGGAAAAGCAGAACTTTCAATGGGGTTGATGGAAACAGGACTAAATAGCATTGCATCCTCCTCCCCTTCCTGCTTCTCGTTGTTACATTCCACTTACATAGTCTGTTCGATAAGCTGAATGTGTTGTTTGAAGTGTCCTACCTGGATAGAGGCTAGAATGTTCGGCTAGATTATTCTATTCAAATCTACTCGCCTTTACATTTTACGTTCCCATTCCTCATCCACAGACCACAGGCTAGCAGGGGTGTGCAGCAACGCAGATGCCAAAACTTGCCATACACTCTTGTGGACAAAAGCACGGAGTATGGGCGGGTTGACGGACTCTATCCGCCAAAAAACCAGTGCAAACAATCGTTTGGGCCTCATCTTACTACACAAGTTCTACGTTCGTAATAGCTGATGCTTTCCATAAGGAGGTAGTAAAATTGTCTAATCTAATGTTTGTCAAATTCTCGGTGTAACTTGTAAGGACAAACAATCTGTGATTGTGTTACTGATGGCCTTTTACCGCCCAGGGCATTTTCACCTCATCTGTTAATGTTGTTTTAGATTTCAGTATTTTATAAAATGCCTACTCCTAAAATAGTTGCCGTCAGACTTTGATAAACTGGCCAAATTGTATCTCGATGCTGTCCAATTTGATAGCTGCATTGCCATCACCAAAAAGACGTCTTATAAAAAACTAGCGTATATTGTGGCATTCATCTCAGCTCGTAGATAAATTGGGAACAGCTAGGGCTCAATGGCAATGAACAGATTGGTAAAGAAGACGCAGTCATTCTGCAACTAGTAGAAAACCAAAAATTAGCGACGTAGTTTGTTTTTTTACTCCAGTGCTTAATTTCCCTCCAGACATTTACCAATATTTTAGGGGCTAAAAGAACGAGAAGACAGAATGGAAGGATTGAATTAACCAAAGTTACGCGCAGGCTAAGGCGTTCACTTCCATTAATGCACGGACTAGCCGTGAGGAAGTATCCACAAATGTTCCCCACGTTAATCGCCACTTAATGGTTTTTTTTCGGGACAAGACAACTACGAACATCGTGGTCAACTAACTGCACATTAACAGCCCCGTCTTCAAGTAGAGGAGTCAGTATTTTGTAGGAAATATTTTTTAAGCATATAAATGTGCTAAACCGAAATAGGTAAGAGAGAATGAATAGGAAGTCTTGATTATTCAACCTAAAGAGGGCATAAAATGTAATTTTTTAAGAATTGTCTCTAGGACTCCTAAACAGTGCTTAATCGGTCTCTATCTTCCGTCGTGTAACATAGTCAAGACCATCGAAGCATTTTAAAACGCTGGGCTTGCATAGAGAACCATGGTAAGGAATAATCTTACCCTTTCTCATTTGAACTGCTCAGAAGAGAGCAGAATCAAGCTGCCTTATACTAAACTCTTTCTGGAGGCCCACTTCATGAGATAGATTGTAATATTCACAATATATGTTGCTGGTGAAAGCACCTGTTAAGACAGCTTTTAGCAGGTATAACAATGAAATATGTGTTTATGGTGATTACTTCATGAATAAAAAAATTCGGCTGATGGATCCATAGTCAAAGGAAATTGTAATTGACGGAATTATCATAAGGTCTTATTCGGTTCTTGCGCCTAGACCAATTGGTGAAAAGGCCTGTAAAGGTTAGCTTTTGGCTAGTTTTTTCCTCGTGGCAAATGATTAATTGCCACAAATTCAAATATGAAGATTAACTATTTAGAAGTACAAACTTTAGTGAATACAAAGTATTTTGCCTCTTGAATTTGAACTTTAAAGCAGTTAAACCGCTCTGAAAACAAGGTATTCATTGGCTGACCCCCGCGTCCTCGCCCACAATTCGGAACTCGTTTTAGACGTCACTGACAGTCGGATCCTCCTTTAAGATGATAGAAACAATCATGGGTAGGCCAGTTGAACGCACAACTCATTTCCCGCTCTGGTGTAGTTAAATGTAAACTGATTACGGTTTTTTTAATGATATTTATGAGCCTGGGGTTATTTGTTGCTGTATGCATTATAGGGACTTTAGTTACTAGAGATTCGTCAAGTAATTGTTTGAGGAATAACCCTAGGCAGGACTCAGGGTAACAGCTCTGCAACCAAAGGGTACGAAATGCGACTTCATGTTTTTAAAAGCAAGTGAAGTCAACAAACTAATTTTAATAATTTCCGAAAAAAGAGGCAAATTAACTGCCAGGAACACAATTATTACTCCTGTAAGGCAAGGTAATTGCATATCTGAGAAAGTGAGTTGGAATTATGAGGAGGGCTTGATAAACAATCTAGATTCATAGCTGACAAGTTCATTGTCTGGTTTGATTTAACTTATAAAAGAAAACATAATTTGGGCTGTGTATTTCAAGTTAGCTTCCTATACTCTTAAAAATAATTGAGTTTATTTGTGTACCTTGCCGACGTTAGATCTCCTTAAGAATTTAATTTCCTTTGCAAAGCTTTCAGTTTGAAGCAGAATGGAGAGGCAATTAATAAAACTAAAAATGTGCCTGAGTAAAGAAATCACCTTTCATTATTATGTCTAGTGTGCGGCTAAATTTGATTTCCTCATCATTTTGCTTGCATAAATTTTAACATCAACAATTTTGGCTCTGGTGCTTAGCACGATCACTTGTCTACCGTGTACTGGAAAAAATTATATATGACTTGAAGCCAGCTAAATTGTTTCCACCTATGGGTTCGATTCAGAAATTTAGGAAAAATCAACATGAATCAGGTTGAGAGAAAAGCATTCCTATCAGATGCCAAGCTTAAAGACAGCAAATTCATCAGAAACGGCCAGGTATTTAAAAATCCGCCACGAAGCTATGCTTCTTTACCTAGACAGTCATTTCTCCAGCCAAAATGAATCGTAAATAGGAGTTCTTCACCAGTGTAAAAATCAGTGTTTGCAAAGGCATAGCTGGAAATTTTACGAGTTAGCTTATCTTGAAGGATCTAGGCTAACGTTGTGTAGCTCAATCAGGCACAAAAAATGACATTTTGGTTTTCACTTTTGCCAGCTCCTTTTTTGATCTAACTAAAATGTCACTCTCTAAAGAGAAGTGGATGCCTTCATTATAATATAAATTTTATGAGCTGTGGTGGCCGAACTGTTTCTATGACTATATAATTAAAATATGTGGTGGTCGTACGTGTAAAGTCAACTTATTCTAGATTAGTGGAATTCCTCAACAAGGATTTTCTACATATCCTAGAGTAAGCTTTTAGGACAAACTCATTCTGGTTGCTAGAAGATTGTACCTAGCTTATATTTTGCTTGAAATTGACAATGTCTTATCCGATGACTTAAAAAATGTGTGCTATTTTCTATATTCACGCACCACAAAGTTGCTCGACACCACTGGCCTTTGGAGTGTTCTCTACCACCTGTCTCTTATTCAGAACCCTCCCTAATACAATGTTGCTTAAATGTGATGGATTTCATTTGGCCGTATCTTCTTTAAGAAAGGAATCCGGATCTCTTGCAGATCCAGGAGGGGAGTGGAAGCTCCCATCAGATTTGCTGTAGGACAATTAGCGAAGTAGTGATATTGTGTTCTTGAATCACCACCCAAAAATTGATACATTAATTCAAAAAAGACTCCCTATTTACGAAAGCAATAGTAAAATTTTAAATCTTTTTCAACAGAAGAGAGAGGAGACAATGGGGATAAGGAAGCTCAGTCGCAACTCCCACACTTTCTCTCACGACTGACCTGTGATGGGAAATGACTTCCTTATTGCACGGCTAAGTGAACAACTGTAGAGTTGGTTACCTCCTTACGATTCTACTCGTTCTCTTATACACCCACGCTCCTGAGATGCGCAGCCCTCCAGCCGTGGAGGAAAATGCATGCTTTGTGTGCGATTATTCACAGTTACTATTAATTGCCGACTTGATAAATCTCTAATAAAAAATAATTATGAGATCTGCCCATCACTCGATACTACCTAATGCACATTGTGGGCATGGAAGATAAACTGCTTCTATTTCCTCTTCAGCCTCAGTTAGAAGCATAGAATAAGTAAAAGTGAGGAAAGCGGTATTTGTACCCTTTCAACACAGCTCAAGATTTCAAGCCACACAGGAAAACAATTAATCGCAAGATGTGCATTTAAGCGTGCCATGTTGCAAAAGGACTGGTGGTTGCAAAGGTGATGAGTTAAATAAGAAAATGTTTTATAAAGCTCTCTCTATTCGACTATCTCATTCGTACCAAGACAATAAAAATGCACTAATCCACTCAACCCCATAAACATCTTTGTGCTTTAAATGGATATTCGAAATCCCTCTCTTTTACAATGAATCATTATTTCTTGCCATTGTCATGCCGATTTTCTCTTTCGCGTGTGTTTACCTACCTAACCGACGCGTTGTTCTTCCTTTCCCCCTTCCTCTCTTACTTTCTTATCCACCCGCTGCAGAACAGCTAGAGATGGAGACCTCCATCAATGCTACCTTTTAGATGTTGAAATGCAGTATTTACGTCTTCACGTTCTCCTGCCTCTAATTTACATCAAATCACTGCACATAGCTCAGTGCAATCGGTAATTCTCCATTAAATACTCTCTACCAATAACGACCAAGCGTTAACAACGGGGATGGTTCAGTTTAAAAACGCGATTCTTTGGTCGGTGAGCTTTGGTGCTTAAAAAGGCTTTAATGGCTGATGATTAGTAACGCCTGATTGATACTTGACAGCTCAATCCGACAAACATCTATGCCACGATGCCAGAGGAAACTAGCCATTAAATTGGGATGTAGTTTCTACATCCCGACTCTTATAAGCTAAAGTATAAAAAGTGGAATCAACCGAAACTGTCTGCTTAAGGAGGCTTAGTGGAACTGACTTCCACCTCAAGTCCACCACTATTTCCACTTACAAGGAAGACGTTGAATGGATGCATGCAGAGGAGTCATAAATCACAGTGGTCGGAAGAGTCATTACTACTTGGAGCAAAATCAACTCATTTTTGCAAGGCCTTGCAATGGCTGACAATATAAACTCAGCCACATTAAATAAACAGAGAATGCAACCACTCACAGTGCCAACGTTAGCATGAGAACAGAATATTTCTGCGTCCGACAAGCAGTGAATTCAACCACCTCCCAACTTGGCCAAAAGTGCACCCATCTACTCCTCGTAGGTCCACTACCACATCGACTTGCGAATAGTATTAGCCACTGCATACTAATTCTACCTCTTTTTACGTAATCTCACTTACCCTTGTTTGTAATTAGAAGATAAGAATGGGAGAGGATACATAGCAAAGCCTTCCCACCCTCACACTCTACTGCTTCCCTTATTTCACCCCTCCAAAATAGACAGTGGGAAGCGGTGAAGCGAATAGAGACCAATAAGCTCGTTCGCGTTAATCACCCATTCATTTTCACCGTTTCACCTTGCAGAGAGACCACGCTATCGGCCATGCCAGTAATCACTCAATCATTTTGTACAGATCTCACCCGCTGCTTGTTAATTTTAGGATGATCTGAGGAGGACACCACGTTTTCTTACTTTTTTAACCTACCTATTTTAACTCAGGAGTGTTTCTACGTTATTAAGGGTAGCAAAATCATCACCAGAATGCTCTTTTGAGCATTCACGTAAACCAAAACTCGATTTCAAAGCCGGCTGCCAATTGTTTCCAATTTGTGGAAGATATGAAAAGTGGGATGGAGTGATTGGAAGACAGGAAGGTGGGGGGATAGTGTAAAACACTGAATCATCCTCGTCCTCATCATCAGCTTATTCTCCCTATCCTATATTTTTTTTCCCCTGCGTCATGGAACTCGACAATTCCGTAAGCATATTTGAACTAGAATAAAAGGAAATAGGACAGAATGGAAGAGAATCGAAAGGGCAGTTAGGAGGAAGAGATGAAGTGGAAAAGTAAACGTCTAAATTAGGCTGTTTACTTCCAGTTACAAATAGCTCTATAGGGAAGTTATGTTCACAAACGATTGCCGATTACAATGGTGATTAGTTGGTTGACCCATGTTTATCCTCACCCACTTTGCCATTCTCCATGTTTCATTTAAATGCGGAAGTCAATACACGCAGAAATTAATGCCAACTCTAATATAGGGGCAAAAAATGCTTCAGCAAACGAA